CGAAGTGATTCATTTTAAATTAGAAATATGCGTGTACTTTAAATACTGTCACGCGATCAAACATTTTATGATCAACATCAACGATCAAACATGCTCTCTGACATAACTATGTCACGTACTGTTGTAAAATCGTTCGACTTTCTTTAGCGGTTCAGATTCCACACTGAAACTTCACGAATATACTTTCAAGATACAGCATCATTGATTTTGCGTAAAAACGTCTTTTTTCTTGAATAAGTAACACGGATTACACCATTTAACCGCTTAACGCGCATGTCTGTGCATATCACGACCATACTAAATTAACAAAAAACAATTTGATGCCGTGTAAACTTTATCAAATGCGAAACTACGTTTCATTTTTCATGCACGCACAAGAGCTGAACGACAATCAATTTTCTCTCCACAATCATGAGAAAAAATGTTCAAAATTCATCTACTGTTTTGAAATGATGCGATGATGATTCATTTAGATGAAAATTATTAGACGTTAAGGTGTCAAATACTTACAGGAAAATTATAAGATATTTAAACGTATTTCCTCATAAGTATCGGATCAATCTCGTGACATTTTTTGTTGGCAATAATTAGCGTCATTGGTTGCATCAGAAGTACATTATAATATATTGTTTTTTCTCTTGTTTCTCGCGAAACCCACGTGTTTTGTAATTGATTCGGCATTAAAGTAATTGAGCAGCCACGCGAGTCACCCACTCGCGGCGATCGGTGAATTAAAGCGTGTAATCTGTGGGTGCACGAGTGACAATCGATGTATTGCGGTATTTTATCTTGCGTAATTTAAATGAAAATGAATCCTGCTCCTTACATGATTTTAAATGCCTGTAGTTTAATTTAAAATATAGTTTATGTGCGGAAAGAGAAACATAATATTGCCAGAAAAAGCAAGTCCCCTTACTTTGTTACCATTCAGTTCAGAAGATATCAAATCATTCTTGGCATTTCAATTAAATTTTCAAAAACATTTTCAGATGCTTATTAAGTAAAATTTTTTAATAAAAGATATCAGAAGATATCAAATCATTCTTGTCATTTCAATTAAATCTTCAAAAACATTTTCAGATGCTTATTAACCCTAGAAAGATAACCATATGACAACGTACGTAAAAGATAACCATACGCTTCAGAGGCGCATGCTTTTCTAAGGCGTCAATTTTATACTAACAATGGATATTTATTTAAGTTAATCTAGTCATTTTAAAGGTTTGGCATTATTGTAAAAATGAAATGCATTTATATTATATTTTTTTATATTTTAAGTAATTTTAAACTTAAATCACTAGACCTCTATGAAAAATTAACAAAAATCAACAGTCTTCGCAGGCGCCTCTGCGACGTAGGTTATCTTTCTCGGGTTAAGTAAAATTTTTTAATAAAAACTTGTCAAGTTGCTTCGATTAAAAAATGGAGGTAAATTTTGTGATTTTGCATTTTTATATCTTTACTTGAAAAATATCTTTTCCATAATATTTTTCGTTCGCTTTTATTTCCCCATTTTGTTGTACGTGCTACTGTATTTTCAATATTTGCTATTATTTTGTTATATCTCTGATGGGTGAACAAACGAGTAAATGGATATAAAAATTTATAACATATGTTTTGTTCCATTAGGCTTATAATATAATACAATATAATATAATATGTACATCATATTCGATTTAGCTCATCGATTTTTGAGAACGATGATTTCTATTATTTTAGTTACAAAATGTCAGGTCTTTATTCCACCCACTAGAGATGTATTTGTTACTAATGTTCATAGAAGATAGAAGCATTTATTTCAGATTATGTTTCCCGAGATTCCGCGGTTTCTCGAGGGTGGTCAGGGTTAGGTCATGCTTAAGTATATTCAATCCAGCTCATCATTTTCTAAGAACAATGATTTGTATTATCCTAGTTACAAGACGTACACTTTTTTTCCGCCTATTAGAAATATATTTATTATTAATGTTCTTAGAAGATAGCACAATCAATCGATTACTATTAGTACTATCTAGAAACAATTATTATCTTCGATCAGAACAATTATGGCGTAACCGGAAACATTACATAAATTCTGATATAGGTAAAGGCTTGTTTTCACTGTTTGTGTGAAGCAGTAAACGATGCTGCGTAGTAAATTAAAAAATTATCGAAAATTATTATGTATATTGTTACTATGTATTCATACTGAAACATATTTCATAAATTATCGCTCAAATCGCTAATTAATTATCGCTCTTTATTAGCCTTCTACTGCAAAATCACAAAATCTCAGTGACTACATTTCACCATTAAAAATTTTATTAGGCGCAATTACTAGGAGATCCAAAATATTATCACGAATACTTTTATGAATTATTGTAATATAAATTTTTTTTGCATTAGGTATTTTAAAAGTATTGCTTACCATCTTAACTCTTAGTGATTAACTTGAATTGAAGATTATTTAATTGCAGATAAGAATTAGATCTATGTAAAACGAACTAATAAACAACTATTTAAATAAACATAAGCATCGCTAGTGGTACAATCGTCAAAATTGTTCAATCTCTGAGAATATTCCAGTTAAAAAATTTTAGTCCTCGCTAGAATCAATTGGTTATTTTGTAAGATACGGATTTTTGTATAC